TTTTACTGTGTGAGAAAGTGTAAAATGATCAGCTTTACAGAATAACACACACAAGAGTGGTATTGGACCTGAAGAAGAAAGGCCGTAGAATCTTCATCAAAGCTTAACAGGCAATAAATTATTGTGATGTTAAAAGAAATGAAAAACAAACAGACGACAAACTCTGCAACATATACTTCCATAGGAGAAAAACAAGTTCTCATCTAGCTAAACAGCTAGAGTCGCATGGCTCATAAACAAGAACGGGCAGCTAAGATATATTGGAGTAGGAAGAAAGCAATACAACCGGTGCACCTAACCAAACCTGCACTTATATAAGCTCAGAAAATCAGGGTCCTGGCAAATGTTTGAAATTGCTTGCTACACTATGGACAACAAAGAACCTTTTTCAGACTTGCCATGTGTCCCCAGATAAAAATGAATTTATCTGGCTAATTACATTAGATTGCAAATGTGAAATTTAAATGCAGTGACATTAGTCTTTCATTCTCACCTTTATTCTGGATTATTAATGAAGCTGAACCTCTTGTTCTTAATCAAATCCATTGTGTGTGTGTGTGTGTGTGTGTGTGTGTGTGTGTGTGTGTGTGTGTGTGTGTGTGTGTGTGTCACACACAAAGAGAGAGAGAGAAAGAAGGGGCAGCTAAAGAGAAAAGTTTGTCATTTAAAATAAGACAGGTTATTGTTCTTTTCTTCAGTGTTTTACTGGGAAGGGAGGATGCTTGTTACTATGGATACCAACCAGTGCTATAGCCACGCCATTTTATGCTAGTTAATTGTATGTTAAAGTCACCTTGACTGGATGCATACCCTTTGTCATTTGTCTTGGTTAGCTGATTAGTACAAAGGACACTATGTCGACTAGCGTTAGCTAACATTAGTCAGATTCATGATATATTCCTCTGCTTCATACTGGTCTGTCAGGAAGTATAGGGACTGATTACTTCTTCTGTGTTTACATTGAGTTCTTTGGTCAAACCATTTATTGAAACAAGAAGTGTAATTACGGAGGTCTATTACCAACTCAAATTTAATGAGTAAGTAAGTCGATATTCTATATTTTTCTTCCTCTGCACAAATCCTGTGAAAAGACCAAAACCAATAATGTGTTAGTCCATCTATCAATACATTCTGTCTGCGGCGCTCAGCCCTAAGACCATTGGCTACCACTGAAGACAAAAATGTTGTTTGTTGATTGGATCAATTCAGTGTTGGTTTTGGTCTTTTCTTTAGCTGAAACGGTTATTTGATTAGTTGACTTGATTAAATGCTTCAGACAATTTTAAACCAAAAATAGTGAATAAAAATGCCAGACGTTTGGTTCCAGCTTCTCAAATCTGAGGAGAAGCTGTTTTTCTTTGGGGTTTTGGACGTGTGGTTGAACATTATAAAACATTTGAAGTTTCACCTTGGTCGCTGAGTTATGATATGCATTTTCATTATTTGACATTTTACAAACCATTAGTCAAATAATGAAAATAATAATTGGCAGATTAGTCTTTTCATGGGACTTGTTGACAATAACAAATGTATTGAATAACACCAACTAAAACTAAAACCAAAAGATACTATTGGGAACATCATTGTGCATGTGGTTGGCATCAATAAGAGCGAGTTATCAGTTGAACCTGTCAGTTGTGAGTCTCTGTGCCTTTGATACAAACTGTAATCAGCATTTTTTCCTCTTAATTTTCAGTTTAAGTCGACAAAATTAAAAAATAAACCTTATAAGAAAAGCAGATGTTCACAGGAGGCAGACATTTCAAGTCATTAAGTCATTATGTCATTAAGTGTTCAAACCTCAAGTCTTTCTTGACAGCCAGCTTCAGTAAACATCACACATTTCCCTCTAACATGTCAAAATTCAGAAAATCCTGTAACCTTGAATCATTCTTGCCATCAGTGAACAGAAAGCTAATGTGACCTGACGGGTCACTCACATCAGTGGAGCGTCTCTACCCTCGGGGACTGAGAGATGTAGCAGGGGGCTGTGTCTGTATGTGGAGAGCTTCCAAATCAAAGGCAGGGATCAAAGAGTTGTCTTTGCAGGTGTCCTTGACTACACAACAGTCACATTAAGTAGGTTGAGGATCATTCCCGAGGAGTTTACACATGTACATATCAGCCGAGAAAGCCTTCACCGTGGTGCCGCTGCTGTTCTGAGGTTAAGCTACATGAGGCACAATTTTTCTGTCTGTCTGTATCACTGTGCTGCTGCAGATCAAAAGTGCTCAAGGGATGGTGAAGCTAACCCTTTCAGATGGACAGTGTAGACTCATAGCAATTCCTTTTTAACACCTATGGGTGTCTGATTCCTGCTGCAAATGGCTGACAGCCTGCTGTCAGGTGGGATAAAGGAAAGCGTTACCTGTGCACAGAACCATAGAAGGCCAAAAAGAGCCGAGCTCTGTGAGCTGAGAATAATTCGTCTCTCAGTAATGGTGAAAATGATGTTAGACCTGATCTGAGCTCAGTCTGCCGCAGAATATTAGATCATTTACCAGAGAAAGATTTGTGGCATTCCTGTCACTCAGCTGCTGGGATTTTATGAAGTGCAACCGAGGAGCAGGAATTGCAATGAGGTATTTTGTTAAAACCCCACTGTGTAAGTTTTTGGTCATATGAATTCACCTTGTTATTACCATGTTTTCACATTTGGACCATAAATTTCAAAAGAAACATCCATCTAATAAAATGTCAACATGTAATAAAGTGACCATTGGTCATATCACTTTCTGTAGTATAGATTGGTCCGTAAACGCCAAGAACAATGATAGAAACAAGTCCAGGGCTTTATTTTTTTTTTTTAAATAAGATCCAAGAAGTCCAGGTTGAGTAATGCATCCGCGGGTTTGAATGGTAAACAGTTGACAAAACACTGCACAGTGGCTTGTAATACTGCAAAACAGGATTTTACAGCTCACCCGGTACACAGTAATCTACCAGTAAAGAGTCATCTAGAGTACAAAGAATGTGCATTTGCATGTAATTGATTGGACAAATCAATGTCTTGCTGTGTGATGTTGTGTAAAAGCTTGAGCCAGGTGCAGCTTTTTTTTTTTTGCCAGATGACCCTGTGGTTCCTGCCAGAGTCAGTTGTGTTGGGACCTCTCCTGTGTCAAAATAATGGTCTAATTGAAATGAATGAGGAGGGTGTTTTTTTCCCCTATATTACAACAGCTCATTACAAAATCCTCAAATACACAAAACATTACAAATTGACATACAACAGTGTCATAGTTTCTACAGTTCAGCTAGATTTAGAGATTTCTCATTAGGCCTCATTAAAATCTGTCATAAGACTTTACTGTGTTTTTTCAGTGCCATATAAAATCACAAATACACATATGATGTACACACACACACACAAAGTTGCACATGCATAATCAATATCATTGGTAACGTCTCACCAATCAGTTAATTCGTCACGATGGAGGTCTTGATTTATTGTCTTTGGCAGCGACAGTGCAGTGATTTACTGTTTCCTCTCTGCTGGAGAGTTGTGTTGTGCTGCAGGAGACAGAGTGAAAAACTTTGCACCTGCCACTCTTTATACCATCTACCAGATTCATCCAGACAAACTCCTACGCTGCTTAATTTGTTTTTCGACTTACTTGCCACCTCCTTTTGAGAAGTTTTCCGTCTACATTAACCTGTTGTTACGTAATATATATTTTCAAGTTTGAAAGATTTTATGAGTAATTATCTGATAATGAGTCGGATTCTCCTGACTTACGAGATGCATTTTTTTTTTTTTACTTGAGATGCCTTCTCTCTTCAGCTAAGGAAATGATTTCAGAGGAGTAGTGTGTGATGAGATGAGACAGAAACCTTGTGGGCATGACTAATGCTACTGAGTCCAATTAAGCTGATGTCTTGTACCCACTGAATTAAATCACCCTGATATGATCTTGTCTGCCTATGCATACATTTGCCTCTAACTCTGATCACCTGGAAAAATAAGAGAAGACAGAGCGTGACATACGCACGAACCATCTCCGTGTACATGTTTATAGTTGGTGACCTTTCTGCTATTATTTCTATATTTGGAAAATGTGCTTGTTTGATGCTTGTCAAAACACTCAATCCTTGATTTGATGAATATAATAGGATAGATAGGAAGTGCAGGAAACATATTCCCTACAAAAAATTGAAGTGATGTGTAGTCACGACAGATGCAGGAAGCTGTTCATGGGCAGGAAATTGGCTAAATTAATAGGTTGCTCTCTATTATGAAACTTGGTAGTCCTCTGAATGTGCTGATATTGTGGGTTACGTATAGGCTGGTTCACACAACTGCCTCCAAACTACTGTGATTCCCTGTAACCACTGCACCACACCCGCTGAGAGTGAATTTATGACTTAGTTAAGCTCTCTGAAGGCTGCAACAGCTTGCCAGTGAAATGATTGTTAGTCTAGAGGAAGTCATAAATCAAAACAGGCCTCGGTTTGTCATTATCTATTAATACTCTGCCGCTCTCGTTCTAGAGCTCTGGAAACAGCCAGAACTCGCACGCTCTTGCCTTCTCCCAAGACTGAAAGATTTCCTCTGAAAGATGGAGGTAAAAGACAGCTCTTCAAAGTTTGCTCGGCTTGTGATTGATTTACTCATCCCTCCATGGTCTGCCGCGTGTGCTTGACAGCTCTGGAGGTGGAACAGTGTTCAAAGCCTTAATTGAGCTGAATGCTCACAGCTTAAATGCTGCAGGCACAAAATCCACACAATTAAGAAGGACTAATGACGTGGAGTATCGCCCATTATTTCTCCAAATAACCCTCAGGGGTTTCCATATTTAGTATCATTAAGTCTTAATTAGTGATTAGGAAGAGGAAATAGAGTATTTAGCTGAAACTGAGCATCTTCACACAAGCCATTTTCTACATCTTTTGTTAAAACAAAAAAGTGGATGTATGTAGGTCATTCTTTGAAGACGTGTTTGAATAACTTTTTTTTTTTTTTGATGCTGTAATTATTAAAAAATCTCTCTCTGTCTTTTCAGAGCCAAGATGATGTGCATGTCATCCACAACAATCAACTGGGTAAGTCTTCATTTTTTGTATAAGTAAGAAAGACAAAAAAAAAAAATGTGTGTCAAATATTGCGTAACGATTTAGATTACAGCCTGCAAATTGCAGTGTAAATGTTTTCTACATATGGGGCGTAATCGATAAATCAATCGGTCTATTGAAAGAAAATTGTCTTACTATTTTAATAATTGATTTAGTCATTTTTAAAGTAAAAATGCAAACTATTTCCAGTTTCTCTGTTGTGAGCATTTGGTGCTTTAATTGTCTCTAATGTGATAATTAACTAACTAGTATTTGTTGTTGGTCGGACAAAACAAGACATTTGCTGATATTACATTAGTCCTTATGAAATTATAATTGTCTTTTTAAATTATTTTTGTGACATTAGTAACAAGAGGGAATTGGGGAGTAACAGATTAGCATTTAGCATTTATCAAACTTTCCTAATTACCCAGTACATATTAATTAATTACTTACTCTTTATGTCCTCTTACAATATCTATGTCATAAAAGTAGCAAAACACTTGCAGTACTATAAATGAATGAATAAATGTATGTATGTATATATATATGTATATATATATATATACTATACTATGTACTATATATATATATATATAAGTCTCAAACACAAAGTTGTTACCTCCTTATTCAATAATGTATAGTACCCAGGAAGTACTTTATTGATACCCTGTATATACTAAATAATAACATTGTCATTTTCAGGCTGTAATTTAAGGTCTTACTAAAGACTATTATACAGTATATTAAACTATATATGTATTCATATTTCATTTTTATCAGTTATATTTTTGCTGTCTTTGATCGAACCTGTGTTCAAAGCTGCTGTTCATAGCGCCGGTCATATTTGGGACTTTGTTCTTGTGTTTGATATGTGGATCTGTCTCCATCAGTGGAACTAATTTGTACTGTTGGAGGCATTCAGAGCGATGAACTATTACTGAGTATTTTTCAGTTTTAAAAGAACTGTATGCTCAAAGGATTGAAATACACTATCACTTGATATCATCATGAATAGTAAGTCTTGAAATGAAATGTTGGGCAGTGTGAAATTTAAATAGCAAATGCTATAAAATGAAAACGGTGCGAGGGGCTTTTGTCTGATGCCTACCTTGAAAAATTAATCTTCAGAGTTCCTCAGACTTTTTCACAAATATAGTCCCATCTCTTTATCGATTTGACGGCAACCAGGAATTTCATAAGTAGAGCAAATAAAAGATCTCATGCATGCCTTTCATGCTTCAGGGGGCTCATACAATCACCATTTGAGTGTGATTTTCGGGAGCCTGCAGAGGAGTTTGGAGCCAGTTTTCTGGACCTCTGCCTGTTGTTCATTCAACTGGGTCACTACAGACGCAAAAGCACACAAAAGCAACTTCATAATGCTCTCATTTGGCACGTCAGCACAGAGAGGAAATACAAACAGACAGCTATCTGAAAAATGGAGCTGCACTATCTGGCACTGCCATAGTAATTCCCTTTGTCACACCAGAAAAGCTACGCTCGCCTGCAGAGAATATTGTTTATGGGCAGGAATTCAAAAGAGGAATAAAGGAAAGTTGGAATTCCAATTGTTTAAACAATACAGCGAACTTCAAAAGGTATAACTGGCTTGTTTATTCTAAAGGAGCTGGTGACCTTTTAGAAGGTATTAGAAGTAATGTGAAGTAATAAAATGGTGTTTCTTTAGAGGGAATACAGGGGGGGGGCCATATCTGATTAGAATGATGTCTCGTAAGTCTGAACAAAATAAAAAAAATTATTTATACACATTATGAACATACTGCAGTGTGTCTACATTATTACATATCTTTAGAATAAACAAATGGCAGTGTTATTCCTCTGGCCATATTTTACTGCATCAACATGCTTCACCTCAACAACTCAGATAGCTGAAACCCTGGAGAACATCACCTGCCTTAAATGCCCGAGGAAGACAAAACGTTCAGCATTGCTGAACATTGTTGCTGCACTATTACGTGTGGGAGATTTACATTGAAAACGTGCATACATTTGTACATTCTCCGTCATTGCCCAAAACCCTAAGTCCCTGTTGAATGTAGCATAACTTCCTACAACACAATCAAAAAATGGAACCAGAAATACACCTTTTATTTATCCAGTAGTTTGTTTGGGCTTTCATTGTAGCTTCATAGTGCCAGTATAAATGTTAGCTGACAGGAGCACACTTCTTCTTTAGTTGGCCAATAAAACTACTTTATAAATGTAGGAATATTACACTTCAATGGCATTTTTCTTCTCTAAATCAGTTTATATCATAGGATAACATAACATCATAAAAAATCAATAACAAACATCATAGTAATATAAATGTTTAAAGTGTTTGGCCGTCTAGCCCAATAAATTCAGTGAATTTCTGTAATTTTCAGACCCATGGTCTGAAGAAGAAAGAGATAACATGGATAAGATTATCTTTTATGTGCACAGTGTCATAGTAGATGAGTCAGAGTAACCAATAATGATGCATGTAAAGAATATTTTCAGTTAAAGCAACTTTTTAATAGAAAGTAGTTTGAGGTCATGTCCAGTGTTGCTCCTGGTTTAGGGTACATACATGTATGGTATAAAGATAATGCATTTAGACAAGAGTAACTGTTAATGAATGGAGAAAAGTCTTAAGTTCGAAATTGAGTCAGACATTTTGATGTCTTGTGTGCCAAGCACAGCTTTTTAAGTAAGTAGATCCAGGGCATTAATGTTCTTATCTCTTATGTAATGTCTAAATGAGGTGGTTTTGACTAAAATTCAGTTGGCTTTTAACCCAGATCACAGTAATGTATTCAGCTCAAGCTCTCTGTATTGACAAGGTTTCGGTGACCGGTGAAAGAGCAGAACATATCAAGACATTTAGTGTGGGAAACATCAGTGAGAGTCAGTCACATGTTTGAGCCTCAGTCAGACCCAGACTCGGATGAGGCGAATAGCAGACGTATCAGAACGGTTAGCACAGATAGCATGTTTTATTTTATCATGCTGTTTATTAGCTTGTAACTGGCAGAGGCTGACACAGTGTTAGTGGTTGTGCTAATATAAACTCTAGCTCTCTGTACTGGCAAGGTTTCGGGTTTATTTTGCTCCCACCAGGATTGGTTCCTTAGGTTTGTGACGTATGAAACCCTGGCTGTCTGAATCCGTTTTTATGAGACTGTCATTGGTTCACTGCAGTTCCAAGGTGGAAATATACAGCCATGGTGTAGACTGCTTATTTCACTAATGATATGTCTTGTATTATATAAAAACACCATATTGACGTGTTAACCAGATCAAAAACTTGGTTTTCCTCAGAGGGGTCTTTAAAGGAAACTCATGGCTGCATTGTGTCATAGTTCAGTGGTGGAGAAATTAGTATTTCTGCCTCTTCTCTGTTTTTCCAGTTTACTTTGTTCATGGCCAGTATCTGTGTTTTTTAGTGTGATTGTTGAAGTGTGTTGCAAAAATGCAAATGTAGAAATGAAAGCCTTGCTCTCTGGCTTTAAGGGAATAACACCAAGCCACATGTGTATTGTTGATGTAGCAAAATAAATGACCTATAGGTTTGGTTCTTTATCTGTGGGAGAAAGAAAAATGTTCCAGCAAATAGCACATGTAAGGTACAATGCCAAAAGCATTTTATTAAAGCTGGATTTTTCTTTTTGATGTATAGCGTTTGATAGTTGAGGGTATGGGGCTATTCTGCAGCACAAACAGTGAATGGTACTGCTCGAGAGTAGAGATGTTGTGCCAGAATTTAAATCAGATTATCACTATAACAAAAATTAAGCCAAGGAAAGCAGTGCTACTGTCCCCTCCACAGTTCTATTATATTCATGCAGTGGCTTGGAGTCGGCTTCTTCAGGCCAGGGGGATATGCATTGTGTCTTCAAGAAGCTACAGTGTTCACAAGATGTTGACTGAACTCTTCTTGCATGCTGTCTTACATTCCCTGTGTGTTTACTTGTCCTTATTTCCCTTCTCTTTTCCCCTCGCTTGTCCTTACAGTGCCTGGCTGCCTGCCTGTCACAAAACTGTATTAACTCTGCTTTTCTTTGTTCATTATTCTGAACACGGCTGATGACTTTATTTTGCAAATTAAAATAACAGCACACATACGTTCATCATTCTGCATGAATATGTTCAATGAATGGCGTTCATTGAACACGTTCATATTTTTTGTGAACACTGAATTGAACCAATCAGTTTACGTTTTACAACAGTTTTACGGCGCGCCGCACGACGTCTCCATAGACACGGCCCAGCACGGCTGGTGCACAGATGGTACAAACGCATCTACTACTGCTGAAGCCACTCTCCAGTTGAGGCATTTGAAGCAGTTTTATGAACAAACAAGTGAAGACTAAGATGGATTATATTCATATAAGGATTTTAAATGTAACTAATGTCTGTGATTCTTCAGTGGTATACTATAATTCATTCAGTTTGGGAGTGGCAATGATTTGGGGCTGGTGATGGATGGGTTGGAGGACGTTCTATTGAAAAAGAATAGTGGCCTATTTATTTGAAAAACGGAACAAATGAACATGAACTAGTTCATTTTTGGAACTGTGACCTTAGTTTAAAATTTTAAAAAATTTACTCTGAACGTGAACTAGTTCATTTTCATCTGTATGAACTGAACTTTGAACTAGTTCTTTTCAAGTGTGAACAGGCACAGCACTGGTTAGAAATCCTGCATGTTTTTAAAAAATCAACTTTTCAGAAATCCGAGAAAAACAAGCTTATTTTCAAGTGGTGTCTCGTCCGTTTTCGTAATACAAATTACTAATACAAAACCTGGAATCTGTTCAGCATTAATTGCCTCAGCTTCCTGAATTATTGATGCTAAGTGAGGTTTAAGGGTTGAGTTCAGCACTCATTAGTCTTCAGCAGAGTTGTCCATGGAGTCATGAACTCCAGAGAACCTCTAATGAGTGCGATTATCACAGGTTGGAGACCCTTCTTTCCAACCTGTACGTGTTGCATCTGCCGTGCGA